TATATTCTCACTCTTTCTTTCTTCCTTTCTTTTCTTTCCTTCTTTCTTTTTCTCATAGATGATTGGAGTACAGCTGCCAGTAAACATGTCATTGGTATATTACCACTACCAGCTACAGGGGGATTTAGAATTATTAACCTTTTCATCACTACCTTAGAAACAGAAACAGTGAACTTTACAGTCAGTAATCTCACCCAAACAATAACTAATGGTTCAGTTACTGCTGGTACACCAACAACTATCAGGGGCAAAATATTATTGTCTTATGCTGTCAATAGTGAATCAGAGAGATATAAAGGTCTACTAGTAACAACTGGAACAGATAAAAAAATATCAGTAACTGTATTAATACTGGGTCAATCTCGAAGAGTGGGAGTGTATGCCAACTATCCAGCCTTGGTTTACCCAGTTGATAGTTATGTGTATTATGCTGTGTCTACTGGTACAGATGAATCAATCTCATTCTCATCTCTTCTAATAGTCTCTGGTAATAATAATACCAATATAAGAATCACACCAACAGTGACTGTTACTATACCATCTAGTGTCGCTCAATGTCTGATTTCAACTAATGATCAAATGCAGATCAGTCTTAAAGCTGGACAATCAATAACAATACAATTACAATACCTGGAGACATTTTTACTCAAACCAACTGTAGAAAAAGCTGATTTAACAGGAACAAAACTTGAATCTAATAGTCCAATATCTGTCTATTCTGGTCACACTTGTGTTGGTCAATTTGCTTGTAACTCTTTTGATGAGCAAATACCACCAGTAGCCTCATGGGGTAATGAATTCCTAGTTCAGTCATTTAATAATTTTAATTTTCGATCTGGTTATAAATTGAAACTAATTGGATCACAGGCTAATACCAATGTCAATGTATTGTGTAATGAAGGTAACAGCAGTTGTTCACTATCTCTTCAAGAAGGTGGTGTACTCACTCAAACTATATTATCTCAAACTAATTGTTACGTCAGTTCAACTAGTCCAATACTTGTCGCTCAGTTCTCAGTAGCTGAATATGATATGATAATCATTCCTCCACTGCATCAATATGCTTCTAACATAACTAGACTAAGTTTTACTAGATTATTTGGTGATTTTATTGTTAATCTTGTTGTACTTGCTGCTGATGATTCATCACAGATACGACTGAATGGCACTCTTCTTCCATCTCTCACGTCCAGTTCATGGGAATATCACAGTACTTTTGTTAATGACTTGTATGTTTTTAACGGTTTTAAGTTATTTGATACTCTTGGTTTCAGTGAGGTTACTATTTGGTCTAATAACAGTGACGACAAGATATTAGCAATAGTTTATGGTTATTATACTACATATTTTTATTCTGGAAGCATAGACCTGAAACC